GTTTCTCTCAGGATACCTTCACTACAAATGGCCATTTTAAAGGAACGGTTTGCTTCTGGAGGCAAAGTGCACGTAAGTCGTGCCGTAGACAGCCTGTGAGCCACTAAAATACTGAAGTTTTGTAAAGTCCCTCGAAGTCGACATTGGAGAAAATATAGAAAGGTTGCCTAATAGGGGTCTAGGTTTTGGCAAATCGGTTTTAGAAAAAGAGGTTCTGAAGCTGATTGGTTGAAGAAGTGGTGGTATGTTCACGCTCTTGTGGCAGCAATTGCCGCTGCTGTATAGCTATGTATAGCTCCCATTATCTCCGGGCCTGGACTTTGTGCAGCCGCAGCGCGTGGCGCCTTGCCCACGCTAATGAGCTCTCCGGGCGGGGGGGGCGCCCCCGCCCCCAGCCGCAGAAAGTCGCGGTGGCCGCAGAGGTGGCCTGGCGGTGGCCTGTGGGGTGCTTGCAGAGGCCAGCTTTCGCCTAGACCTGGCCCAAGGGGAGCAGTGCAGGTGAGCGATCCTCCCGGCCGGCTCCCCTACCCCGGGAAGGGAGCTGTCAGCGTTTTGGCCAGGCTCACGTGGCCAAACAAATATCCTGCAGCTACGTATGTACAAATATCCTGCAGGTACCTATTGTACTTATATATATCTTTATGTATAGTATAGCACTGGTGCTCTAAGGATACAGGAAATGCCATGATGTTGCTTCTTTTACAGCTTGTAATTCGTGTTGAGTCTATTTTATTTCTTTCTGCTGCCTCCTCCTCATTTAAATGGCAGCAAAGCAGAAGAACAGAGGCAGTTCTGTTTTTTTCTTGCATGCTTGCACATTGTCCTGTAAACATGACGTGGAATCCATTAATTTTGTTTGTATAAATATCATTTAAGGGAGTGGGGAAACTGTGATATACTAAACTTCCTAAGAGGAAGCAGGAAAAAATTTTCATCACAAAGTGATTTTTCTGTCAGACTTATTTCGTTCGTAGTGCTAGTACTGCAAGGCGTGTGTTGTTTCCAGAACAATGTTCCGTATTTCCGAACAGCTTAGGGCGTGTTCTGAGACTGTTGCTGAAATCGTTACTTTTAACTGAAGTAGCCAAGGTAGAAGGAGGCATAAAACGCATGTGAGCTGTGCAAACTGGTGCCGTACTGGGGCTATAATAATGTATACATTCCTCGTGTAACAGCATCTGTGCTGTAGAATTCAAATGCAAAGGGGCATGAGTTGTTGTGTAGTTATCTCCAAGGAAGAAAGGGAACTTGATGGCTTTTGCGTTGTTAGTTTCCTGGGGAAAAAAAATTACAAAGATCCCCGTTCCCCAAGGTAATTCCTAAAACAGTGGATGCAGTTATGATTTTCTTATAGTGACCAGTCCTATGTCTCTGGTACACCCCACAATTTTTAGTGTGCAATAAATTCAGAGTCAGGCTAGTAGCATGCTGGCGTGCAGTCAGAAGCGCTGCATAGTAAATGTAATTCCGGGTTGCCTGTTGAATTGTTAAATTATCTACTAATTTTTCATATTCCATGTAATAAAATACAGAAAATCCCATTAGCTAGTTCTGGATATGCAGCGTGCTGCACCAGAGCAGAATCACAAGCCTTACTAGCAAGGTGCTTTGAAAACACGTAAATCAAGATGTACTGAGCCGCCAGAATACCAACCAAGTGGGTGGAAAAGCTAATTAACTATGAGCACTGTCCTAATTTGGAGCTACTTCCAGTTCTGGAGCTAATTTTGTTCAGCGCTAGCTAGCGGATTCGTCATGCGGTTTATGCATGCCATCTGTGCAGCCCCCTGTCCCTGCGGTCCATAAGCTTTATGGCTTGTTCAGTACCCATGCTGATTTAAAGCAATCCCTGGTTTTGGAGGAGTGCCTTCCCAGTGCCCGTGCCGTGGGAATTGTTTCAGATCTTACATCTTGATCGTAGGGGACAGGTTCTTTCTTTTGGGAAGGTGTCGCCGTGTTTGTCTTCTGTCAACTTCGGCTACGGATTCAACGTCTCTCATAGGAGGAAAAAAAAACAACCTGCAGGACTAAAAGTAACAGCCAAATAAAATCGTAGTAAAGTTAAAGCATAGCTAGACTAATGCTATAATAAGTGTATAGAGACTCGTTCATTTCAAATATAAAAGATATGAGTTAAAGATGATGAAATTGCCTGTTGCTTTATCAAGTCCTCTAGGTTGACATCCTTAGACTTCAGGTCTCATTTAGACACCTTTCTGTCAACAGATTTCTTTTGTGTTAGCATAATTTTCAGTTGCAGCCAGCATCTTCCATGTTTTTAATTGTCCCCCAAGAGTGCTAAGTTTCTGTTAGTCCAAAATCAAGTCGCCCTCCTGTGTAGACACCGGTGCGGAGTTTACAGCTGTGTTTGTAAAGGCAGGTTCACATGGTTGCAAGTGACTGAGTGACTGGATCGCCGAGTGGGGATGGTACTACCACCTGTCAGCCGAGTTGGATCAGCTGGCTATCGCAAATCGCAGTGGCAATGTGACGGTTGAACACGCTGTGCTGAGAGACATTCGGTCGCGAGCCTTTTAGCCGTGCCATGCTTGCTTGCAACTTATAACAAAATCAGTTGCTGGAGTGGCAGCAGGGTGCCTGCTTGGGGTGCTGGGGCTGAATTTTGGGGGCGTACTCAGGAGAGACAGATTTGGCCCGTTTTTCCCAGTTTCCAGCAGCCCCGCACTGCCTTCCCGCGTGTCGCAAGCAGCCTGCTGCCACCGTGGGGCCTCCTCGGCGGGCACTGCCCCCGGACGGCTAAAAGGTTGGCTCAGGAGCTCACAGTTGTGATGAATCACAGAGGCATGGCATGGATTGATAAGGTCGTGTACTTTATGATTAGATACATCCTCCCTATAACAGCAGTTCTTTGTCTCCATTTTGCTTTTGGCAATGTTTTTCAGCAGTTTGCATGCAGCAACTCTCCAAGCAGGAGTGTTCAACTTTGAAACAAAGTCACCATTATTCTAGGTAAGCTCAGGGAGCCAGTGGAGGACCCCTAATAGCTTTGTTGCCCTCAGAAGACATAGTTTTTTGGCAATTTGTTTAAAAGCCTGTTAAGTTAAATCACCAAGAATTTTTTTTTTTCCTAGAAGGCTAGCTATAAAGGACTTTCAGGCTCATAAAACAGTGTGTAACAAGAAAAAATTGTTCTGCAGCTGTATTTTTTTGTGTATCTTAAGCGAGCTAAACATATAATGGCTCTGGAGCAGCGTGCTCTTTATCAGTGGCACTAGCAAAAAAGAATCCCAGATTTTGGCTATTGGTAGTGCAGGTGTGCGGTCCAGGAGCCATGACAAAAGAAAATTATTGTGCGATCCCAACATCTGTGAAAAGCATGGACTATTGCAGTCTCTAATTATTTTTCTCATTTGCTGAAAGTACTTTGCCTCTTAGAATGAAGACTGATGAGAGCGAATGATGTTACCTCTTAGAAATTGGTTGTGACCAGTCCTTTCTGCTTTTCCTTGCATATAGCTGTCTGTAGCCTGACCAGCATGTAAGCCTGCCTCCTCAGTTACAGTTGATAAAGAGCCCAGAGAACCCAGGAGGAATACTTCAGACTTGCTTGGGGGGTTGGTGGCTGGACTCTTGAGGCCTGTAATTTAATCGAGAGCTCAACTGTGTTTACAGGCTGGAACTACATCTTTTGGAGCTGCTCCGAATACTGCATTTATGATGCTACTGCCCTTTCTCAAAGACCTTCTTCCCTGACATCTCTCCGGGTGGTGCCTGCTGACCCCTTAGGCTTCCCTTGACCAGTTTTTAGCTGCTGGTCCCTATCTGTTGGGAAGCCTCATCTCCCCTACCCCAGTCATTGCTACAGCTTTTTGCGGCTCTCTTGAACTCTTTTGGCTTTTCTGACTTTTCTCTTTTTTTGCTTATTGTAAGTTACTGAATAAACTTACTCAACAGCCTTTTCAGAAGTGAAACAAGACAAGGTAGTCATGGATGACCGCTATCAGCTTTTCCTTTTAGCTCAGTCATAAGGAGCTGTTGGCTCACTAGTTTGATTTCTACAGTCTATAAAAAGATTTTGTGCAAGACCTGCTGTGCGTGTTTTTCACATCCCCCTATGTAACACCAGTGTCCGGATGACTTTTATTAAAGGGTATCACTGCTAATTTGCGTCACTACTCAATATGCATTTCCCTGGCAACCGGTTTGAGATAGATTCAATCAAAAATGTCATGGTGTGCTGGGGCAAGTCAAAATTTGCAGACGTACGTTCCTCATTAATGACCTCTTTGGATGAGTCATGTGTTCAGCCCGCAAATGTCGTGACTGTGAAACGACGATCAGAAAACGCAGAGTGTGTTCCTTTTGGTTATTTCCATAGGCAGCATGCTGTATGAGGAGGCAGTCCTTGACGTGATTGCCACATGAGTTGTGACTCTAAGACCTGGGAAACTCATTTCTCATGGTACCCCGAGGGTCTGGTCTTCTACTGAGAACGCTGTGTGCACTTGCAGTTGCAGTGATCTTTTTTGGATTCGCTGAATCTCTGCAAGTTACTTTGATTTTTACTAGTAACTTTGCCCTTCTCGTTTATATATGAGCATATACACCTTGATTTTAGGTGTGCAAACTGTGAGCTTCAATTTTGCTGCAGTCCTAGTTTCCAGTGGCATTATTTGCAGTGCCTCCGAATAATTACATGTATAAATCTTTGGATTTCAGGACCTATCAATTCACACAGGAGGAAGAGCAAAAACTGGAGGCTCTATTTCAAACCTTCATATTTCAGTTTTGGCTCACCAGATCAAAACAGAGATAACCTCTCTACTACTTTATGTAGAGAAGTGCTATAAAGAAAAACATGGGTAATTCAAGATATGTCCTCAGGTGACAAAATTAGAAAATACTAAATTGGAGAACAGTATATCATCTTTTGTAACTGGATTCTATATTCTGGGTTTGTAGGGTGTGAGGACTGCGGTAAAAGCCTTATAGGAGAATGCAAGCTCCATGGACCGCTCATCAGGGCTAAAGATAGGGTTATTCCTAGCCGAGCCCGTCTTACCCTACCTCATTACCTCACTTTGCGAGTGTTGGAGCTACGAGCTGGAAACCAGCAAAGTAAGTATTTTAGCTCTTTCTCTCATGTTTGAAAAAAAAAAGGAGGCAAAAGTACTAAGGCTGGCTTGTTCTCACGAATAGCTTAAGACGTATCATTGGGCGTAACCAGTACGAAGACTACTTTATTTTGAGCTGAGCACAATTAAAGCTTACATTCAGCCACTCTTTTTTATGACTGATTTTCAGTAATGTCAATGCATAGACTGATGGCAGGACATTACCCAGAGATGGTGTGACATTTGACTGGCAGGAAACGGTATTTGATAAAAGTCTAGAAACAGAATGGCAACTAACCTCCCTGCTCCATTCTTTCTATCCCCCTGCAAACTCCAGAGAACATAGGGGATTAATTTACCTTTTGCAGCATCTTCAGGTAACATTGTAGAAAGACTTTGTTGCTTCCTTCTGGTGGCAGGACAGTTTGAATTCTCAAATTTGAGCACAGAAGCTACGCCCTTAGCGTGCAGATTTTCCACAGCTACCTATGTAAAACTGGCTTCTGCCTAGATCACATTTCAGAAAGAGAATGGCGATAGGCCTGTTGTGTTGTACCGCTGATATTATCTAGGGGAATAATTAGAATGAGTAAGACAGCTTATTTTGTGTTTCTATAGGTCGTCTCCACTCAGTTTGGGAGAGGACAACCTTGTCATTATGTCAACAAGCAGAGCACTATAACATCGGCTTGTACATTGAAGACTTATCAGCAGTTTTGAGTGTTGCATGTCATCTCTCACTTTATTATCCTGTCATGGATTTAGGCATTTTTGCAAGCTATGCTCAATCCAAGCGCCCCTTTTTAAAAGCCTCTTTAAAGATTTACATCCTTTTCAGACTCTTGCCATTAGAATTATTTTCCTGGTTTATTTGTATAGAAGAAATATTCACGTGTTTGGGACTATTGTCCGTTTTCATAGCTGGAAATATATAGGAAATACATAATTCATGATGTACATATTAATTTTAGACTGATCTTTTTCTATTTGCAGTCCTTGGAGTATTTGCAAAGAAAGTAATACAGAAGAGAACACAGTTTGGTCCTTATGTTGGTCAACTGTCTACAAAACTGACCCGCTATGATGAGAGCAGGCTAGTCCTGCAGGTAACTAACTCAGAAACTCTGCTGAGCGTCAGAGGACTTTTTTGTTGGCTTTCAAACTACATCAGAAGAGCAGTGCTATATTTTTCATTTTATTTATTTACTAAGGAGCACGAGTGACTTTCTTCTTCTGCCCAAGTTTTCTATGTAAAAACCCTGTGACTAACTATGTGTCTTTAACATTGCATATTTAACTGGGCATTTGCCTTCTAATCTAGTTAATTAATTATACTTCTGATCTGTACGTATATAATGAAATAAGTCATGTTATTAGGTTGCCCAGCATACGCTAAAGCGCCAAAATGTCCCTCAATGCTGTGTTTTTAGAAGTTTGCCTATTTACTTTCTAGGAGAAATGTTTTACTACTTCCAGGGTGATTTACCTATTGGTCTAACAGATCTTGATAAACTTTTCACAGGGCATGGCTATCTAAGTGTGGTACTATCTTCACAAATAAAACAAAAGGATTTTGGCTTAACTCCCTTCCTGGTGGAAGGGTTAAGTTTGTGCACTGAGTTAACAATAGTGACAGAAATAAATATTCACTAAGGTACCTGCTTAGTAGGGAAGAACAGTGTAGGGATGAAGAAACATTTCTCAATAATGTGATTATATATAAACTTTGACATACAGTGTACGAACTCAATTTATTCTGACAGATTGTTACTTAGTACTGAATTTTTTCAGACAGGTTGTTATTTAGGACTGGTACTATTCTTTGCTGCCTGTTCAGATACTGATAGTCCCATCTGAGCCATGGCACTGTTATTTGTTCTTCATCTAATACAAATAAAGACCTCTTTCAGGACCAGCCTAGCTTAGGTATGTCTGCATGTGCATCCTTTCCCACAGGAGTTTCTTGGGAGTGACAGTTTCTTGTAATCCACTAAACCCTGGCCTGTGTGCGCTGCTGCATGGGTCTGGTTGTCTGGTTACGTTCGTCCCTTCAGCTGGGCCAAGGAAGTCCATCCCTCCTGAGCATGTCTGTGATCAAAAGGAAACATCACTGAAGGGATGCCCGCTTGTGCCTGGACTCTGTCTTACTGAGTCCATAGTCCGGCCAAAGCTCCCTGCAGGAGTCCCCGGCAATTCTCAGTCCTCGCAGAGCCCACACTGAATGTCTTCACTCACGTTTTCTGCAGGAGTTGGGGCCTGGGAAAGGCTGTCTGTTGTGGAAGAAGGCAGGCGGAGAGACCGACGACTCCTGTTAATTTTGATTGAGAACAAAAGTAGTAGATTCAGTAGTCACTTTAGACAGCCTTTGCTCGTGGAGGTCATATGAATGGTCTGCCAGCAAAGCAACGCTATCCTTCTGAGGGATTTTCAAGAGATTTTGGCACCAAAGAGCATTTGTCCTTCCCCATGACTAAATTTCTTCAGTCCTTATGAGACACTTTAATACTTACAAATACAGAGAATGCCTATCTCTAATAAGCTCGTGAGCGTGGATGGCCTAAGCCAGTTTCTTCCTCTTCACCAAGCCGTTGTAAACCACACCCTATCCTCTATCAGCCCAGTTTGTTTAAAAGTATATTCAGATACGCGTAGCTCTGCCTGATGAATGGGCTGTTTCTTTTCTCACGTTTCTGACAAGAGAGAGTAGCAGGTGCCTTGACTTCTCCCTGTCAGAATTCTGAATATGTGACCAAACCAGGGCTCATCCAACAGGCATGTATTTTCCTTGGAAACGTGACAAAGTTAGGTAAAACAGTTCCCCAAAGCACTGGAGATGACACTTGCTTTGCAATTAATTGTTAACTCTCAAAAGCTTTTAAATGGTTAGCAGAGCAGATACTTTCAGTACTGACATCTGTTGTGCAGCTTCAGCTGTCCTTCTTCCAGGACACACTGCAGAGAAGCAACCTTCTTGCACTGCAGCTGGAGTATTTTGCCTCATATAGGCATTCTGTTGAAAAGAAAGATAAAAAGAATGAAGTTAAGCAGCAAGAAAGATCTTTCTGGCACAATTGTTCATTTGTATTTACTTTTGTATCGTTAAAGGGAAAAAGAGATGACTATTAAAATGCCATTATATTGTACAATACCTCATTGGACTTATTACACGAGTTGTATAATTGTTCCATGCAAAACTTAGTATTAATACAGCTCTAAAGTTTGAGATTATCGAGTACCCAGGAAATACATTAAGGCATAAAGCTTATCTTTCTACCTGCCTGCACTTAGTCCTTGTAACACTATCTTTACATAACATAAAATGATGAAATATAAACTGGAAATACATACAAAGGCCTACAGTTATTTTAGTAGCTGAGTGCCTTGGAAGGTGTTCACTCTTCACTTTCTTTTGCACTCGG